ACCAACTATATTGAGGCACCAAGATTGCTAAAGGAGGATATGCCACAAAGACATAACCAAGAGAGACACAAGCAATCAAGCAATCAAAAGAGACCGATTGAAGCAAGCTATCAAAAGATACCAATTGAACCAACTAGACCAATGATCCTACGTGCCACATGAATAAAGGAGTGTTCTAGAGAAACTAGAGAAGCTCCCCATGATTTGTGCACGCATAAGAATATTTGTATTTGGATACAAAGTGCACAAAATAGGATCATAGCTCCCCCAGAATCAATAGAAACTTATAACAAGTGCAAGTGAGCATATAGGAAACAAAGCCTAGAACTTGCAACAAACACATGATTGAGCAACAAATAAAAGAGGCAACTTAAGAATGGGCTCAACCAAAAGGATGTGTGTGAGTCAAGGCAATGCACTTGAGAAGACTAATGTACGGATGATCATTAAGCATCAATAAAGTCTTGAAAGAATGAGGCATATGGTGCAAGACCTATCATTCCAACACACCACTAGCAAATGGGTTCACAAGCTTACTAATAAGCAAATAAAGAACCTATGCTTGTGACAACCCGTGGTGAAGATAGAAGATGAAAGCCTCATCAAGACGAGGGATACCAATTAAGATTGCAAAAGCCTCGTAAAGATAAGCATGAGGAAAATAATCTCCACCACACAAGAGTGCATCAAGATGCAACGAAAGAAGACACGCACTCAAGGCAAAAGCTTTCACGGAGCCACCAAAGAAATAACATAAGAAAGACAAGGTGGACGTGAAAGAAAGGATATCATCTAGAGATATAATTTCTCTCAAGTGTATAAGGTTCTAGGTAGACGAAATCATGATGATATATATCTACAAAGAAGGATGTACACCCAAAATAGTTACAACACGAAGGAACAAGATATCCAAAAGGAAGTCATACATATACCAATAAGATATTTGCTTGGAAGCATAGCACTTGGCTAGATATGGTCTTATTGTATATAAATGAATTCCTACCACACCCCCATCAAAGACATCACAACTAGCAACATGAGATCATTGTTGAGATGCTTTGAGAAAGAAAACAAGTATCACACGATGGAATGAATATCATGCCAAGATGCAACCTACACAAGGTTGAATGCAAGAAAAGAATGCATGAATAGATACTTGTTACCGAGATATCATTGGAAGGATGTAGTAGATACCAATTAAAGGTAGATAGTAGTTCATTGATCATCCTAGATTGACTCCAATAAGTACATGGTGACACCACCTTCCTTGTGAGTGAGCCGAGCATCCAATGCATCTTCAATTGTTCCTAGAACAACAACACAAACAAAATGGTACCCAAACTCATTGGGACCAAAGAGTTAGAGAACCAACAATACATAGGACAAACTCCACATAAATATGTGCATATAGAAATGAAGTAGAATTTCATGCACATCTCATCCAATTTGAGACTTGGTGGAGTTTCCCTTATATATTGGGTCAAGGAAAGAAAGCATGCCAAAGATACTACACGAAGAAAATATGCATGCTCAATACTTTCAAGAACCGATACCAAATGACAAAGAAATGCCAAGATAAGAAAGGATACCAAATGAATAAATCATCACTTGGAGGATATCATTAAACGATACATCAAGGAATGAGATATCCATTGATACACAAAAATAAAGATGTACAACTCCCAAGAGAGAGAATGGTTCCAAACAAACCAACTGCTCTACAAAGTTTCATGATGGCACAAAGTACCAAAAGAAACGATTTGCATTCCACCAACACACACTTGAAAAGGATCACAAGGTGAGCGTTCTAAGAAAAATAGGATAGCTCCCCCAAGCATTGTGCATTGTAGAGAATTTGCATTTGAATACAAAATGCACAAGGTGGGATCACCACTTTCACTATATCTAGAAAACACTAGACAAGATCAAGAAATAGACAAGATCCACAAGAAGTATGGAATACAATGGGAGTTGACACAAACTAGGCAAGAGATAAGGCAAATAAAAGCAAAGGCTGATGTAAAGATGATCAATAATTTCTACCACACAAGTGAGTACCAATTGTCAAAAGACAAGAAGTATTTGGAAATAATTCCCGGTGGTAGATTGCAAGGATATCCAACATCATCTTCACACCAAACACAAGCAAATTGCAACTTGTAGAGCTAACATGCCACCTAGGAACAAGATAATTTACAATATCAACTCTAGGTGACAATATCTCAAATGTACACATTTTCTAGGCTAGTAATATAAACATAGCATATTACTCCCCCATAATGTGATACCAATAAAGGACATACAAGAGGCAAAAGGAGGATCCAACAAGAGATAATTAATGGACTATTTAGAATTTGAATTTCTCATGAGAAGACATACCACATAGTGACTAGATAAGCTTGCAATATCAATTCTAAGTGGTATTTCCCATGTACCCACCTTTATAGAATTGTGAAGTGCACAAAGCACATCACTCCCCCATAATGGATATTCCATTAATCTCTCACAAGAGCCAACTAAGAAATAAACAAGATGCAAAAGGCTCAACGCATGACACACACGTACATGATGTGCAAACCAACACACACATACTTGATTGCTCAAGATAATCAAGTTGGAAGCACAACATATACAAACACATGCAAGGAACAAAGTCAAACATGGGGGCACCACATGTTCTTTCACAAGGCCCAACCTTGGTTTTACATTTGCACTAACAACCTATCACCTTCCCTTGGGTTATGCAGACTCAAGGGTCATCTTTATTTTAACACCCCCCCCCCCCCGGTCAGTGCTTCTCTAAGTGTTGGTCCGAACCGAGTAGACTGCGGGGCCACCTCGGGAAACTTGAGGTTTGGTTTTACTCGTAGGATGTCTCATCCGGTGTTGCCCTGAGAACGAGATATGTGCAGCTCCTGTCGGGATTGTCGGCACATCGGGCGGCTTTGCTGGTCTTGTTTTACCATTGTCGAAATGTCTTGTAACCGGGATTCCGAGTCTGATCGGGTCTTCCTGGGAGAAGGAATATCCTTCGTTGACCGTGAGAGCTTGTGATGGGCTAAGTTGGGACACCCCTGCAGGGTTTTGAACTTTTGAAAGTCGTGCCCGCGGTTATGGGCAGATGGGAATTTGTTAATATCCGGTTGTAGAAAACCTGACACTTAACTTAATTAAAATGAATCAACCGCGTGTGTAGCCGTGATGGTCTCTTTCCGGCGGAGTCTGGGAAGTGAACACGGTTCTTGTGTTATGCTTGATCGTAAGTAGTTTCAGGATCACTTCTTGATCACTTCTAGTTCACGACCGTGATTTGCTTCTCTTCTCGCTCTCATTTGCGTAAGTTAGCCACCATATATGCTAGTGCTTGCTGCAGCTCCACCTCACTACCTTTCCTACCCATAAGCTTAAATAGTCTTGATCGCGAGGGTGTGAGATTGCTGAGTCCCCGTGACTCACAGATTACTTCAAACAGTTGCAGGTGCCGATGATAATCGTGCAGGTGACGCAACCGAGCTCAAGGAGGAGCTCGATGAAGATCGTGTTCGTTGTGTTGTTTCGTTTCCAGTCGATCAGTAGTGGAGCCCAGTCGGGGCGATCGGGGATCTATTGCATTAGGGGTTGTCTTTCTTTATTTGGTTCCGTAGTCGGACCTTGATTGTATTCTGGATGATGTAATGCTATATTTATGTATTGTGTGAAGTGGCGATTGTAAGCCAACTCTTTATCCCTATCTTATTCAGTACATGGGATGTGTAAAGATTACCCCTCTTGCGACATGCCTACTATGCGGTTATGCCTCTAAGTCATGCTCTGACACATGGGAGATATAGCCGCATCATGGGTGTTACAAGTTGGTAATCAGAGTCTTCCCCGACTTAGGAGCCCCCTGCTTGATCGAATCGCTGGCGTTGTTGAGTCTAGAAAAATGTTTTGACGCATATGGAGTCATATGGAGCAGTATGGAGTCTTTGGAGTAGCAGCGGTACTCATGGGATAACTCAAGTCCAATGTACATGGAAGTTTGACGCATTGACGAATTCAAGGTGGTGGAGAATATTCGTCAAGTTGGAGTTTGTTAGAGTTGTGCCGAATATTGTGTATAAGATAGGTTACAGTTAGACTAGGAGTTGTATTGTGTTTATATAGGATGTGGAGTTGTGTCCTAATAGGACACTTGTATCCTAGGCCTCTTATATATAGCGGGGATAGACACACGATGTAACCTATGCCAACATAATAGCACAGACGCGCAAGGGAGAGCCGGCGGCGTGTGCCGGCGCCCGGGGGGCGGGTGCGGTATTGTGACGGTGTCACGGGGAGGAGCGTCCGTAGTCAAGCCGTGGGGATGTAGCCATATCGGTGAACCTCGTTAACAAATCTTGGTGTCGTGCTCGTGTGATTGCTTGGTCCTCGGATGATCGACGGAGTGCCTTGGATTTATTCTAACAAGTTGAATTTGTAATTTCGATAAGTTAATTTTTTGAGAGAAGAAATGGTTGTAGGAGGAAGAAGCTTAAGGAAGAAGAAAGAAATACGATGATGGGATTTTAATCTAAACTTATCCAAAATAAATTTTCACGCGACTTACATATAGCTAGACCCTAATTTATTGGTGAAAGGAAAGCGGTTGAAGCAAAACGAGTTCTCTACTCTCTCAATACTGAAAAAATTTATTGGGGGAAGAGTTGTTGTTGAAGATGCTCTCCTTTTGTTTTCTTATGAAAACTAGTGTTAAGTCCCCTGCGAGAGCGAAACATTACTACTACCAATTTTAATTTTCGTTGTGGCCGCCTGTCTCCCTTTTTGTTTAGCAAACTAGCCGCCTGTCATGAGTATCATCAATTAAGTACTTGGCCTGCTCGGTTGATTCTGAATTCACGATAAGCATATCTAGCCTGCTAGCCACTATAAGTCTCTTTTTCAGTTTGCCAGTTCCACTCAGTCTCTCTCCTTCAGTTGCGTGACACAATTTGCAAAGTAGGCAAGGAACACAACCACCTATGGGAAGCACCGTCGTGCTCTACACATGGATGGTCAGGGGTCACCTCCACCCCATGACGCAGCTCGCGAATCACCTCGCCGGACATGGCGCTCCCGTCACCGTCGCCGTCGCCGATGTTCCGTCCACAGGTGACTCCTCACAAACTATTGCCCGCCTCTCTGCCTCCTACCCTGCTGTATGCTTCCACCTGCTCCCGCCGGCAACAACCCGCTCCGAGGACGCGGCCGATCCCAACGCCGACCCTTTCATCACCCTCATCGCCGACATCCGCGCCACCAACGCCGCCCTCCTCGCCTTTCTGAGGTCTCTCCCGTCTGTGAAGGCTCTCATCACCGACTTTTTCTGCGCGTACGGGCTTGACGCAGCCGCAGAGCTCGGTGTCCCAGCCTACGTGTTCTTCACCCTTTGCGTGTCGGCTCTTGCCACCTTCCTGCATATCCCCGTCATGCGCTCCGCCGTCTCCTTCGGGGAGATGGGGCGCTCCTTGCTGCACTTCCCTGGAGTTCACCCAATTCCGGCGTCCGACTTGCCGGAGGTCCTGCTCGATCGTGACAACAGGCAGTACAGTACCACTCTTGGTCTCTTCAAGCAGCTTCCCAGAGCGAAGGGCATTCTGTCGAACACGTTCGAGTGGCTGGAGCCCCGCGCCGTGAAGGCGATAAAGGAGGGAATTCCCCGCCCCGGCGAGTCACTGCCGAAACTGTTCTGCGTCGGCCCATTGGTCGGCGAGGAGAGAGGGAGCAACGCGAATCACGAATGCCTTGTGTGGCTGGACAAGCAGCCGGCGGGGAGCGTGGTGTTCGTCTGCTTCGGGAGCGCGAGCTCGGTGCCGGCGGAGCAGCTAAATGAGATAGCCGTGGGGCTGGAGAAGAGCGGTCACGCGTTCCTCTGGGCCGTGCGCGCGCCTGTCGCGCCGGAAGCCGACTCGACGAAGCGGTTCGAGGGGCGGGGTGACGCGGCGGTGGATGCGCTGCTGCCGGATGGATTCTTGGACAGAACACGGGGACGCGGAATGGTGCTGTCGTCCTGGGCGCCGCAGGTGGAGGTGCTCCGGCACCCGGCGACTGGAGCGTTTGTGACGCACTGCGGGTGGAACTCCACGCTGGAGGCGGTCATGGCGGGGGTGCCGATGCTGTGCTGGCCGATGTACGCGGAGCAGAGGATGAACAAGGTGTTCGTCGTGGAGGAGATGAAACTTGGGGTGGCCTTGAACGGCTACGACGAGGCGATGGTGAAAGCGGAGGAGGTAGAGGCGAAGGTGAGACTGGTCATGGAGTCCGAGCAAGGGAACGAGATCAGGCAGAGGATGACGAAGGCGCAAGAGATTGCTGCCAATGCACTGGAGATCGGTGGATCCTCGGCGGCAGCAATCATTGACTTGCTGGATAGTCTGAAGATTTCGACAAACGACTGAATCGTTCAAGGCATCAAGGATTGCAAAGAGCCTTTTTAACAACTTTATTATTATTATTGAAAAACAAATACGACTCTCTCCGTCCTAAATTATTTGTTCTAGATTTGTCTAGAGACACGAAAATATGTAGACATGTTAATTTGGGACGGAGGTAACACTGGTAATTTGCTTTTCTTTCGTGTAGTGGAAATGTGAAATGGAGGTGTTATGTGACTGTTGAGTGAAAACTGTGAAACATATGTTTCTTTTGCGGGGCAATGAAACATATGTCATGGAATAATTACCAAATAAGTGCTCTTATACGATGTTTTGTAACATCCTTTTCATCAAAGTAGTGACTCTATTGTATATTGGCGTCAATACTAGTATAACTCTTCAATCATAAATTATTGCAACCTTTCGTTTAATCAGTCCTCTCATCTATGACTATATGCCTAGATGTTGAAATTCACTTGGATGCCAATATGCTTGGTGAACTGTAATAGAAAAAAAATAAAGCATCAAGCCATGATTTTTATTTTACACCATCTCCAAGAAGGTTTAATAGGTGAATATCATGCAAAAAAAATACCCATTATTCTTTGGGCAAATTGAAAGAAGAGACAAATACACCCGTGGTGCATGAAGTTGCACAGGATGACCACCTTGGTGCCTAAAGTTGAAAAATACATAAAACAAGTGCATAAACATGTGTCATGATACAAATACGGTGCAACTTCTGTCCGTAGACATCAACGGTGCCTACATGGCATGCCAGCGTGGCCCCTGAGCCACTGCCAGTAACTAGAATATGACATTTTACAGAAAACCCATCGAATTGGCATTGAATCTCGCCGTAGGGTAGTGCTTTTTTTGGAAAACACCATGAATTAGTGTCAAATCGTGGAAAAAGGAACCCAAAACGATTTGGAAAATAGCAGCAGCTGGGGATCAAACCCACGCAATGGTTCAAAAATAAAGTAACCTAGGCACTGCACCAACCCATATTTGACGAGTAAATTGGACAACCCACCTCTTCGTTTATTCGAGGGAAGTTTTTATATGGAAGATGACACACTCGTCAGCTTAGAATGGTCTGCCGTCGTAGCGGCCCATTTTACATGCTAGTTTTTTTTTTGTTGAGTTAAAAATTGACATATTATTTTCTTTGAGTTAAAAATTGTCACATTATCTTACCAAACTTCACATATGTATGTCATATGTGACCTTTACATGTGTGGAACTTTGACCATTTTTTATAACATAAAACTATCATATGTCTTACTAAGTTGAATATGGTGATCGAGGTTAAATGATTAGTTTTAATGTTGAAGAAGAAGTAAGTTGATCCCCGCAAAAAAAAAGAAGAAGAAGAAGTAAGTTGATGTGTCATGGGAAATTATTATACATTACTAACTGAGTGACATATATTTTTAAGAGCAAACAATAAATTGTGTGTCACTTGGAGTTTTTTTTTTGTTTGAGCATGTAACTTGGAATTTTGATCTAGGAATCCGATAAAACTATTACAAAAATATGGTACCGGATCTACAAAAACTATTTTTAAATTATCATTTCCAAAGATAGAGTTCAAAAATGTATGTTTTCATAATAATTAAAATGGGTGATTTAAAAATAATAACTTAGTAATATACGCTTCAAAATGTTACATGATAAAACTCGCATTAAAAATGATATTTCAGTTATCAAAATCTTTTACAATTTTAATACATGTTTACATATTTAATTAAAGTATTAACGTAATTTGTTAAATTATAAAAATATATGTGCAGGTAATTTCTAAAATGTTAAAGAAAATGTGCATTCCTTCTTGAAAAGTGTTCACATGTTTTTAATAAAGTTTGTCTGTTCGCCAATTCTTTTTTTTACCTCTCAAACAAACGGCAATTCTTTTCAGATTTATGCTTAAACAAAACTAAATAGGAAAAGATGTATGGAAAACTAAATACTCTAGTGTGGCTCAGACTGCAGATATGTTATATTTCTGTATGAATAATTTTTAAAATAATATTTTATTTTCATTTGGAATATATTCAAGTATTATTTTAATATATGAAAACGTCAACACCATGTATGTAAATATATAAACATTTTTAAAATTAGGTTGGCATGTTTATTAGCTATGTAGTTTTTTAAAAATTATACCAAAAAATTATAAATCATAAATATATATTTTATCATATGAGTATTTCTTTAAAGTAATACGTGAATATATTTTAAATTACTTGAAGATTTTTTAAAGTAAGTCATGTTATTTGTATCTATATTATTCATAACACATGAATATTCTAGTTTTATCTTTTTACTGTGGTTTCTAATTCGTATTATTATTTTTACATATTTCTGAAAAAGTAATAAAAAAGCTAGCATGCGAAAAGTGGCCGCTCTGAGCACAGGCTATTTTAGATTCACGAGCATGTCCATCTTAAAAAGTTATGCACATGGTTGTCTTATGTTTCCGTCATACATCAAGCGGTGGAGTTTCTTAGCACGATGGATTTATGCCGCGTGTGAAAACACGATCCTCCGGCCAGATTTGATACCAATTCAGGGTGTATTCGCAAAATTTGATATTTCAATTACTGCCAGTGGCCCAGGGGACATGTTGGCAGGCCCCGTTGGCTCATTGATGTCTACGAATAGAAAAATTGCACCGTATTTACACCATGACACAAGTTTATTGATCAAGTTTATGTATTTTTAAACTTTAGACACCAAAGTGATAATCCTGTGCAACTTCATGCATCACGGGTGTATTTGCCTCTTGAAAGAAAGGTATGTGTTGTGGGAATGGCTAGCCCACCTGGGTCCATGGTCTTAGGCCAACTCCAACGCGGCGGCTCAAACACAGATTTTGTCCGCTTGGTCTGGCTAGACGGACGTCAATATCTATTTTTGTCTGTCGAACCTTAGGTGCGCAAACGTGGACGGACGCATTTCACATCTGCGCCAAACTTCGGTATTATAAAGAAATAAACCAGCCACCAGAAGTCTAATTTATATTAATTAAGACAAAAACATTAAAATAAAAAGCATCCAACGGTAGGGCGTAAACCTTGGCGGTGGCGGCATCCTCTTGGTCCGGTCGACGTAGGCCGACGCCTCCATCCAAGGGAATGCCTATTGGAAGGCCGCCAACGCCGTCTGCTACTGCTTCACCTACCGCCTGGCCTTTGGCCTCTATCTCATGTTTCGCCGCTTGGTGCTCGGCCTTCTTGTCGGTCATGCCCACCTACACAAGTATGCGCGACACGTACATAGGCACTCTGCTCATCCGCGACCAATGTCTGTGCATGCTCAGGCGCGGACGGTGCTGGTGGCAGTGGGGGCACGTTGGCCGACACACCAGCCGCCGATTTAGCCAGCGCCTGCGCAAGGCCAGGCCACCTAGGGAGCTCGTCGAGCTCGGACTCCTTGATGGCCCTTCTTGTGGCCTCCTCGATGTCCGCAATGTAGGCCCCGTCGGCCTCCTCATCCCCCTCCTTCACCACGACTGGTGGTGGTGGTGGAGTGGCGAGGGCGTGATGCACGGGGCGCTCCCTTGAAGCTCAACCGGTATCACTGTTCGTGCACGGTGGCGAACCATGTGTCCCAGTTCGGCGAATCCACTGCATACACTGGAATAATGAAGTTTGCTATGAAAGAATGAATTAGTAGCATTGATTTTACCTTTTAAAAAGAAACAAAATAATGAAGTTTTCTATGGAAGAATGAATTAGTAGCATTGATTTTACCCTTTAAGAAGAAAGAAAATAACAAAAAGAAGGAATGGCAAAATTTGTGCATGACTTACATAGAAATTGTGCTTTTTTATATAATATGCAAGAATAAGCATATAATGGTGGATTTTTCGCAAAAAGAAATGTCCTTAGAAGGAAAGAATTAATCGTATGCTTAAAGAAGAAAGAAAATGATATAAAAGCAAAATAATGAGGTTTTCTAAGGAATAATGAATTAGTGGCATTATTATTACCCTTTAAGAACAAGGCAAATGAAATTAAAAAAATCAAAACAATGAAGTTTTCTAAGGAAGAATGAATTAATGACATTGTATTGCCCTTTAGAGGAGAGAAATTAAAAAAGAAAACAAATGAAACAATTGCACATGATATACACAAAAATTGCACTTTTCTATAATGTGCAAGAATAAGCATATGAAAGTGGAATTTTCACACAAAAAATCACTAGAAGGAATGAATTAGTGGCATTGATTTTAGTCTGAAAGAAGAAATAAATAAAACAATAACAAAAAACAAAATAATGAAGTATTATAAGAAAAAATAAATTAGTGGTATTGGTATTGCCCTTTAATAAGAAATACAACAAAATAACAACTAAAGCAAAATTAAAATAATGAGATTTCAAATGAAGAATGAATTGGTGACATTGGTATGACCCGAAAGAAAATGAAAACAAATCTAAAACAAAGAATGACAAAATTTACACACAATATACACAAAACTTGCGTTTTTGAAAAAATAAGCAAGAATAAGCATATAATAGTTGAAATTTGGCCAAAAAAAATCCTAAGAAAAGGAATGAAGTAGTGGCATTGGTATTACCTTAAAAAGAAAAAAATATGAAATAATAAAAAATCAAAATAATAAAATTGTATACGGAACAATGACTAGTGCCATTGGTATTACTCTTTAAGAATAAAGATACTAAGAAAAGGGAAAAAAACTTACACACAACTTTGCACCAAAATTGTACTTTTGTAGAATGCAAACAACAATCATATAATAGTGTGATTTTGCACATACATAGATTGTGTATATATTTACACACACCCAAGATTCCATAAATACCTACAAAGGAAAAAAGAAATAAAACCAACTAATAAAGCAAAAAAAGGACAAACACATAAAAACTGAAAAACAGAGAAAAAAACAAAGGGAAAGAGGGATGTGCTGGAAGGTACAGGTAATGGGCTTCAGCCCAATAGCAACTTGACTGACCAAATATATGTTGCCAGTCAAAAATATAGCAAAACCCAACTC